ACCCAATAGAAGAGTTCTATAATGAGAATACCTTAGAGATAACACAACACAATTTAAAAGAACAATCATGAATATGATCAAAGAATTCAATGAATTTAAAGAACACACAAACAAATCAAAGAAATGGAAGAAGACAGGGATAAATTTCTGGCTGAATTCACAAAAGAGATAGAAATATTGGAGAAAACTCAGGCTGAAATGAAGAAGGAAGTGAAAAACTCAATAAGCCAATTTGAAACAGCAGGAGAAAGCCCCACCGATAGAATGAATGAATAGAAAACAGAATAGCAACACTTGATGATAAAGTTGAGTGGACTACTCAAACAAAGAATATGAAAATTTTTTTTAGAAGAAGCATTTCATTACAGCTTTAACATACTCAATAACAGTTTCTAGAGCAAAGATACATCTCACTCAAAAGTGCCTAAAAATAGGTTCACCGTTGAATTAATACAATTATACAATATTGAACTCAGTATAAACCCTGTCTGTAAGACATAAAAGTGAGTTTTTAACCTTTAAGAAAAATCTCCATTTCATTTTAAAATATACTGTTTCTTACAGAAAGGCTCATTGTTTTTGCTAATTGTGTTAGTTTAAGGGATGGGGGAGGAAAGGATATACTAAGAATATGAAATTAAAAAAAATACAGGAATGGAATATGCAGGAAATGTGGGACACCATGAAAAGATCAAATTTACACATCATAGGCATAAAGGAAGGAGAAGAATTTTAGGTTAATGGTATTGACCAGATATTCAACAGGATTATAGAAGAAAATTTCCCAAAATTGAGGAAAGACATCCCCATACAAATACAAGCAGCAGCTAGAACATCAAAGAGACAGGACCAGAAAAGAAACTCCCATGGCATATCATAGTAAAAACACTAAATGTGCAGAACAAAGAGAGAATACTGAAAGCTTCAAGAGAAAACAGCAAGTCTCATATAAAGGAAAACCCATCAGGATTACAGCTGACTTTTCAATGCAAAGTAAGGAAACCAGAAGAGCCTGGACCAAAGTATTCCCAATTCTAAGTGACCACAGATGATAACCCAGGAAAAATGTCTGTGCTGGATAGTTTTAGTGTCAACTTGACACACCTGGGTTGAGGGAGCCTCAGTTGGGGAATTGCCTCTGTTGGACTGGCCTGTGGCCATGTCTGAGGGGCATCTTCTTGATGAGTGATGTGCGAGGGCCCAGCCCACTGTGGGTGGTGCTACCCCTGGGTAGGTGGGCCTGTGTCGCATAAGAAAGCAGGCTGAGCAGGGGCCAGGGGAGCAAGCCAGTAAGCAGCATTCCTCCATTGGCCTGTGCTCCAGCTCCTGCTTTCAGGTTCCTGCCCTGAGTTCCTACCTTGGGCTCTCTGATGAACTACGAGACCTGGGAGATGTAAGCTGAATAAACCCTTTCCTCCCCAAGTTGGTAGTGGTCAGAATGTTTTGTCACAGCAATGGAGAAACAACCAGGACAATGTCCATTATTGTTGAAGGGGAAAGGCCAAAAGAAGCAACCTGAGAGAGAAGAAGAGTGAGAGACAGGGTTTACTAATGTGAGGGAGAGAAGGAGGGTTATACAAGGACCTTTTGGGGTAAAGGGGAATAAGGAGCTCAAGAGATGGGGACCAAAGAAGACAGATATTGTTAAGGAAGTAATGGGGATAATTTTACTGGGGAGGTCATGGAGAGAGTGTTAGGGGGAGACAGAGACAGATCGAGAGAGAGAGAGAGAGAGAGAGAGAGAGAGAGAGAGAGAGAGAGAACATCCTTAACTAGCTAGTATAAAAAAACAGAGGGAATTGTACGAGTCCAAAAGCCTACTGAGACTCCCAAAATTATACAGGTATTGCTACAGCCCTTGATTACCTCGCAGAACTTGAAGGTAAGACCCTATTGCTGAAGACAGAACATACTTCAGATATAGGATTTGGAAAAATGGAGCTGAAACTGACTTGAAATCCACCTCCCCTGAAAGCTAGCTCTCATAGTGTTGGAGAGCACTATGTAAGCTGCTATGTGAGACTATCAATTGATGGTCCAACCCCAGCTTTAAGGCCAATAACCACATCAATGACCAGCACAGCAAACTATATTGGGGCAGTAGTGGCACTTTTATCTTGGGGATAATCAACAGCCACCTAGTTGGACTTAAAACCCACTCAGTGGAAGGAAACCCATGTGTGGTACTGTAAACATAGCCAATACACATAGCTGGAGAGGTCATAGATCTTAGAGAAAACCCCAAGGCTGTCACAGCCCTAGACAAATATAATTTCTTACTAGTACAAAATATGGATCTTTATATTTTCAGAAAAGTATCCCAGTTGCCACTTATTAAAGAAGCTTCTCTTGCAACAGAGATTATTACAGAATTCCACAACTGGTCATACACAAAGATTGTCTGTGAATTGCCCAAGTCTAAGTGACACATCTACAGTGCAATCTCTGCAACTAAGGCTCATGGAACATAGTGGAACAAGAAGTAGAGAGAATGCTAATGCATCTCTCAATTCTCATCAATGAAGCTCCCTCATGCAACAGAGGGCTATGAACACAGAAAGACACAGGTGGCCAAAGCATAGAAAATAAGAGTCTGCAGAGTGTGGGTCCTTAGCAGGACTCCTATATTAAACATCATCCACCCAAGCAGGACTCAGGGAACACTGTGGAAGAGGGAGCAGAAAGAGTATATGAGCCAGGTAGGAGATGCATGAACATATGGAAATAGAGTCCTACAGGCTTCTGGGACCTTGCCCATATGAGCCTGCAGCAATGGTGTCAGCATATACAAGACCAACGCAAACTCAAGCAGACAAAAACCCAGCACATAACTATGGAAATTGGCAGCAGGCCCCAATCTTAGTTGAAGAATTATTAGAAGCTGATTACTACTGGGTGAAGAAGAGCTGATGTTCTTAATGGGAGGTACTCTAGATAGGCTGACTAGACCTCAGTGGATGAACTTGCACTGAGGGCTGTCTGGGGATACTAACTTGACTCAATAGGCCTTAATACAAATGAAGGAGTGCATGAAAGTCAGTTTGGGGGCGGGGGCTATGGAAGGGTGCCAGTGGGGAAGGGGGTATAAAGATGATTAAGATGTTCTATATGAAATACACAAAAATTCAACAAAAATTTGCAAAAAAATGATTAACACTATTATTCAGCTTAGCATAGTTGATTACATCAGGATTCCAAATCATTGTAGGAATGATTACAGCATCTTTCTTAGAGGTCAGTTAATTCTAAACAAGCTGACTACTCAGTATGTGAACAGAAGGAGGGCATAGTTCTAACTGTCCTTGAAATGTGATTATCTTGGTTACAAGGTTATACAAAAATTTCACTTTGCAAATGCTTCAGAAGTCATTTCCAGAAAAGTCATTCCCATACCCCAATACTCATCTTCATACCTAAAAGCAATGGGAGAGGAGTGGGAGAGTAAAAACCGCAGTTGGTGATCTGCTGCTGAATTGTGAAGAGTTGGAATCTGTACCCACCCAAAGAGATGACTAACCTCTTACCTGCAAGTAACAAGGCCTGAGTTCTTTCCCTTTTGTCAGAAGCCTCTTAGCAGTGCCTGGCCCTGAATTAGGTCATTAAACTAATCTGTATGAGGGTCCTTCCAACTGGCACAGTGATATAAACTATTGCCTCACTTAGTCCCCGGGTAATTATTTTTCAACATGAACATTGCTATCTTTTTCTTTGAATACACATGCACATGCTTATACAAGAAGCCGTTCTGAGTGTCAAATAATTTCAAATCCATAATGAGATAGTGATAATTATTTATACTCCCACCATTCACATATAATGATTGTGCAAAATGCATAGTCACAAACAGCCTGGTACTGAAAAGCAGGAAACTTGACTTAATGCTCAGCTTTCAAACTTTGCCCTTTTACATGAACTATGTTTTTATAAACAATAAGTTTTTACTCCATGAACTGCTTTTAAATTTTTAACATTTATTTTTGCATGAAGGATATATAGATATATATCCTTATATAAGAAATATATATCTTAAAGTTGCTAAGGTTTTTTTTATAAATTTCTCTTTATTTTTACAGTTTAAAGTTGCATAATCACCTTTGAGAGGTTATAAACATTTAAGTGAATAAGTAACCATGGCCTCTGCCTCCCTCTTTCCCTCCCTCCTTCTTTCCCTCTCTCTCTCCCTTCTCTCTCCCTTCCTTTCTCTCTCCCTTCCTAGAAAACCTTCTCCAGAGCAGTGGTGTTCTGTCTATATGGTTTCAGCAGGCCCCCTGGTGAACACTTGTTCTCTGGTTCCTAAGCATGCCCCCTCCCACCCGCAGCCAACTTCTGGTTTCCCACCTGTCATGGCTTAGTAATTGAAGTCCTCAGAAACTGGAGTGGCTGATTGAATCAACACTTTTAAGTTCTAATTCAAGTCCATCTTCATTCATCTTTTGTATAAAATACCTCTATTATATTTTTTCAGATGTATCTCCATTTTTTTTGTGGAGTTTCAGACGTACTTTGCTCAGGACTATTCACAAACAGCATGGATCCATTCTATTGCAGACTGCATGACGATGCTCTGTGGTGAGTTTATTATTTACCAGGATAGGCAATTACTGGGTACTCTGGAACTGGACATGAGAACAACTTTTGACAGGGTCAGATGACCCTGATTTTCATTATTAGTTTTCTAAGTGGAAGGACTATATTGAAAGTTATCTAAAACTAAATAAAAGTAAAAGATCAATCTCATCTTTATCAAAACTAGCCAAACTTACTCTTGGAATTAATGGACTTGACTAACTCCAGGTGAAAGAGTTAATTAATACACTGGAAAGGATACAAACTATTTGATTTGTCTGTACAGAGATAAGATGCTGAGCATCATAGAGCTTTCCATAATTCTACACAGAATATGAATCACAGTTCCTCACAGAATGGGAGTGGCTTATGTCTACTGAATACTGTGGCTTTCTCATATTCCAGTCATGAAAACAGGCACTGGACAGCACCGTGAACCATTTTTCTCATCCAAGTGCTAATCACCCTGACCTTGCTTAGCTTCCAAGATCAGATGTGTTCAGGGTGGCCTGGCAAATGCAGGCCATGAGCCATTTCTGTACAGTCTCCTTGAATGAGCATCAACAGTGCTTTGTTCTGTCTCAAGCCTTGGCTTTCTCTCTGCTCCTTTCGCAGAGGGCTCCAAATTTGGCTCACAGGTTTCACCCATTCATGGACTGAGTCTTCATGCTTAGAGAAATATTGGGGAAGGTCAAGATTATGTAATTAAGAGCTAAATATACTCACTATGGTCATAATCACATCCAAGAAACCTCAAATATACTCTTTTGGATATGCAGGTGTTCTAGAAATTCATGGAAACCAACATTGCGTCTATACAGTGGAGGTTAATAAATAGGCTTTTCTTTTTATAAGGTTTGAAGCAAAGTTATTAAATTGATTTCCTACTGGGTTTCTAAGGTTGGATTAAGTTGGAACAACCTGTTTACAGTCTAGACTCATTCAATTCTTTCGTTTAGATAAGTCCTAGGTGTTTTAGAAT